GATGCTGGCCACATGTGGTGTGTCCCACATGGGACAAGATGCTGGTTCCACAGGGTCCCACAGTGTCTGCTAGATGATCTGTTTGTTCCCCCTGCTGCTGTTTAAACTCCCCTCCCTCCCTTTTTAAGAGCAGGCATTCTCTCAGCTGTGGATTATAAGAATGTGTGACCAAGTGGTTTTGAGAAAGGAAAAAAACAAAACATACTTGTGTTTCTTTTTTCAGGTGCCATGGGAGATTGGTTAACTAGTAAAATTAGATGGCTTAATTAGAATTGCTTTGTAGTCAAAGCCCAATGTCCTTTATTCAGTAGCCTTTTCTGCTCCCAGCAGATTCTGATTACTCACAGGTGAAGTTCAGAGCTAATTTTAGATTATTCCTGGAATGCCTCCGTTTCATTTGCTTTAATTATTTCTACCAAATGATGGCCACTTAAAATATATAATTGTAAACTCTACGATTTAATTACAGAGAGTAATTCTTGTGTCAAGTCCTTGCACCTGACTTCTGATAAAGAAGAAAATCCTGTGTGACAGAGGTACAATTCTGAGGCAGAGGGAAATAAGTGTGTTTTTCGTAGGGAGGGTGGAATAGAACCACCACCATGTGGAAGCAGAAACTCCAATTTCATGTGATGAAGAAATGCTTGTGGCATGCGGGGCAGATGGAGTGTGAAATAGCGTCAGGAAAAGAGGCACCCAGGGACCTTGGTTTTAAAATGCAATTTCAGAAGGAATGCAAGCAGACTTCTGGATTTCAGACAGCTTGGCATTCTGGGGAAAGAAAAGATTTCAATTATTGACGCTTTTTTCCTTTAATCAAAAAGTCAAGACAGAATCATCCAGCAGCTGCAGCAGTCTTGTGTCTTTCTCATTGCCATCAATGACAAGTGCTTTATGCATGTGACACAGGTTTTCCTTTTTGAAATCAAAATTTAAGATTTGCATGGCCAGAAAGCTCCAAGGTCGTCATTTTCTGCAATGGAGCTTATTTAGGGAGCTGGTAAATGAAGCTCCTAAAGAACTGAAACATTCAATCAATGTTTTGTCAAATGATTCTCAGCTAAACTAACCCATTTTACATCAGGCTGGAGCAAGGATTTTGAAATAACAGTTAGAAAGCTACCTGGACCCCTCAGCTCCCTTGACATCGTGTGAGGTCAGGTTGCTGACCCTGTCGGGGGTAACCTGTGGCCTGGAGATGAGCGGACTGCGGTGATGAGTTCTAGAGCACGGTCCGTCCATGCCCACACGGCTTCCTGTTACCCTCAGAGGCCAACCTTATGTCTTTGTGGAAACATGAACTGCCTCACCTTCCACGCTTAACTTCAAATCGTCACTATTTCTTTTCTTCATTCTTGACCCCACTCCTTGTCAAAGATGCTTTCCTTGTGTCCTTCATTGTGGACCTTCTCCGTCGTTCGTTTCTCTCCTGTTCCCTCTACCCTGGCTTTCATCCGCTTTCCTTTTTCATTCTTGCCATTTATTTTCTTCTGCCTATACGCTTAGGCAGAAGATGTTTTTACCGTAAGCCTTTTTCTAGAAAAAGAGATCACATCTTTTTTCCACTGTGTGTCTGCCATTTTACAATTCCATGTTTTTTCTATCCACTAAAACTCTTATATTAAAGACAATTCAAATTCTGACTTGTAAATCCAGTGTTTTGGGTTTTTTCCCTTCCCTCATGGTCACCTTCCTCAGCCTCTCTGTGTCCTAAAATTTTTAAACTTCCCCCATGACTTTCATATAATCATCTTGGTTTTCTTCCTTTTCCTTTGACAAATACTTTCTCTTTTGTGGAGCGTATCTGTTTTCTCAAATTCCATTTTCATTTTAGGGTTGATAAATTTATAAATTATGTTTCTAACACCAATGTTCTCTGAATTTTTTTGAAATCTCATAGTCTTGCTTCTTTTCTAGGCCCATCACATGCAGTCAGTTTCTTTTCTCATCTCAAGTTGTAGTCATTTATTTCATCATTCTTATGAGAGAAAGGTGATCACTTACTTTGTGCATCAACTCTGATAACCACCCCATGTGCACATTGGACAGATGATAGAAGTGGGAGATACTCTCTAGATTTAAACTATTTGAATCCAGCCTATTTTGAAGCATTATCTGTTACCCTTTCCTTCTCCTCAGTCGTCTTTGAAAATCTGTGTAGACATTTAAAAGATGTTTTACCTAAGAAAATGAGAGCTGTTGACATACTGAGGTGAATGTGTATACAATGAGTGTGTGTATGCGCGCGTGTGCACGTGCGTGTGTGTGTCTTCCTGCCTTTATGGTAGTGCAGTGAATAGGAAGAGCAGAAAGGGTGACTAGGGGAACGTCACATGTATGAATTAAAATAGTGACTTCTGCTTGATACTAAGAGGTAGAGTATTAATAGTATTCCAGAATAAAACTCTCAGACATCTTTCAGAGGGGTCTGGGGCATTCATTATTGTCTGGGTACCTCCCTGGGGGGTTAGAAAGGTCAAAATTGGGACCGGCAGTAAATCTAAAAGGTAGAACTAGATCCAGGACCAAGAGTCAAGGTGATTTTAGGAACTAACGGCAGTTCAGGCGTAGGGGCAGGCCAGGTGCAGGGGGTGCATAGAGGCTGGTAGTAACACAGCCAGGTCCAGGGTTCAAAAGCTCAGTGAACAGGCAGGTCATTGAGCATATAGACAATGAAAATCAGAAAAGCAAGAGAAACCAGAGTTGGGTGCAAACTCTGGGTCATGAGGAAATCACAGTACATCCTTATTTCTTGGTCTGGAGCTGGGTCCTGCTGAGTGGATAGCCCAAGAGCCCACAGAGAGACTGAATGAGCCAGGTTAGGAAAATGGAGTGTGGTCCCTGACTAGTGGAGGTGAGCAGGATCAGAAAGAAGGCAGATCCGAAGATGACTATTGAAGAGATCGCAGAGGACATGCAGAATTTTCTAGTGTGAATAATCCAGACTTAGAAAGAAGGGGATGTTCAAGTGGCTCAGATTAACCACAGCAGTCACAAACCCTGTGTCCTCATTTTTTGCCAGAGGATGAAGAGTAGTGACTTATTTAAGTCTATGAATAGTTCTGTACTGAACCAATACAGTTTTTCTATACATACACCTTTTCATTTTTTCATGCTTATTGAGTTCCTAATTAGAAAGCTAGTAAAGTACCTGGTCACTGGTCAGTAAATATTTACTGACTGTGCTCTGTGTCTGTAGACTGTTCAGATACACTCTGTACTGCAATTGCCCACTGTTGATGTGTGAATTAACAGCTGTTCTCACTCCTGTGGGCCAGGATAGGAAGCCTGATGCTGTGTCGGCTTCCTGTTCATCTGCGCTCATTGGGGTGATGTTCCACTTGATGGAGGTTTCAGGTTAATTGAAGGTTACATTATTTAAAATTATTTCAGATCGTTTTGGGTGGGGATTTTTAAAATAAGCTTGTATGCTAACAATTGTTACTGATAATAATTTGATTTTTATTTAATTTTGATATTGATAAAAATCATTATTATAGAAAACTGCAGAAACCATGCCGAACAAAATGAGAAGCACCCTGTGACACCACTTCACAGAAGTAACTGCCCTTAACACTTGGGTGTATTTCTTTATAGCTCACCCCCCCCCCCCCATCCCTTGTATTTTACCAAAATTGCGGTGTTATTGTGTATGAAGTTTTGTATCCTGATTATTTTACTAACTGATGGTTACATCTGAACATCTTTCCCCACCCATAGCTGTACATTAATAACTGTAATTCTACTCAGGGCTGTACCATCATTTATTTAGCACCTTAAACTTTTAGGTTATTTATATTTGAGTAAATTAAAACAACTTTCATATAGGTATCTTTCTGCAAAATATTTCTCTGCCTAATTATTTCCTTAATGTAGATTCCTAGAAATGTAATTATTAGTTAAAGCATACCTAGTGTGCCTCTAGAAGGAAGGGCCACTTGGCAGTTTATGATTTCAGTGGATCCCTGGATTAAACCCACAGATAATGAAGTAGGGAGAGAACACACGGCCTCACCTCTGATAAGGAGTAAACATGGCCTGGGGTCTGGTGACTTGAGTGACCTAGATCTCGTGCTGGGTCCTGGTCTGCTATCTAGTTGGTTTCCTAGTTCAAGGGAAGAGGATGAAATCACTAGTAGACAAGCATGTGTTACAGCCAGAGGTGCCACGTGCCTAATGGCGGAAGGGCTTCTGTGTGTTTTTGTGGTATGAAGATGAGAGCGAACGCTACCTTTGTGGTATCTTACCAATGTAATATTAGCAATTATTTCCACCTACTCACTGTTGCTATTGTGAAATTCCTGTTTTCCTCTGAACGTTCATTACACATTTAGCCTTTCAGAGTCAGCCTTCCTAGAGTTTTGAATCCGTGCTAGCTAAATTAGGCTGAAGTCCCTTTTTCAGTTCCTAGTTCTAAACTAGCAGTCGCCAGGGCCTGGAGAGCGGGGGGTGAGGGGGGCATAGTTACGAAAGGGCAACCCGAGGGGTTGTCACGGTGTTAGAACTGTTTTGTGGCTTAACTATGGCGCCTAAATGGACCTGCCCATGTGATAACATTGCCCAGAACTAAATAAACACACTGAAAAATGGGCACAAATAAAACTGGGGTAATTTGGATAGGATTGGTGGATAGTTTCTATGCTGTTACCCTGATCGTGATATGATGCTGTGGTTTTTCAAGAAGTTACCATGGGGGAAAATTGGTTAAAAGGACACATGGGATCCTGCTGTATCAGTCCTTATAATGACATGGGATCTATAATCATTTCCGTAAGAATGTCAGTTAGAAGATTTCTGCCAGTTCTGAAATTGAGAAATTTTTGATAATGTGTGGTATTTTTGCTCAAAGACAAGTTTGAAACCAGCTTGTTGCACAAGTACATCTTACCCGTTTTTTCAATAAGTTTGTCTGCTGTGAACAGAAGGGACACATGTTTTTAAACACTTTCCTATAACTACGTTTTTAAAAAAGTGAAATAATTTTCCTTTTTCTTTTGCAGCCATGAAGACTTTGAATTTATATCAGGAACACGAATGCGCAAACTCGCTCGAGATGGCCAGAAGCCTCCCGACGGTTTCATGGCGCCCAAGGCCTGGGCTGTGCTTTTGCAATACTACAAATCCCTGGAGAAAGCCTAAGCTGCTTGTCAGTCCCTGCGTCTTTGACACTTCATGGAGTAACCAAGGGGACCACATGGCTACTGTTGGCATTTCTTTACGGTGGTGTCTGTCTGGACACTCTTCCTAAAAACACACCATTTTCCTTAACTAGCATCAGTCTTGGTCTGCCTATGAGTTCTGTTTTGAACTAGTGTAACACACTGCTGGTTTTAATGTCTCTCTTCTACTGATTATAGTTAGTATTCCTCTAATACAATTTTAAAATCTTGTCTTTTTATGTTTATGCTTCTGTCTCATGATTTCTCCAAGCTGTTATATTAGTTGTAGCCAATAGTATACACACCGAATCTCATTTTTCATCCCTTGAAAAAAGGGAAAAAAAATCCACTAAACAATAAACTCGGCTAGACCTTGTTCTGGGACTTTTATAAAACATGTGTAGCGATTAGATTTCTTTTCTACATTGAAAACATAAACTGTTTCCTTCCTTTTGATCCGCTATTGATTTATTATCTGTTATAATTAAAGTATTCCTGTGATCTGTGTAAGCCCAGAATGAGCTTTCTTTATTCAATAAAATTAAACCTTTTGACTTATTTATGTGATACATTTATTGTTCTGTTTACAAAAGATTTGTGAAGTTTCTGATGGAGGAGGGAAAATACAGGTATTTTTATTACTGGACTCTAATTAGCTCCTAACACTGTTGCAAATGAATTTTTAAGTTGGGAAAATAATATAATGCATTCTTAGCATATCCAAAAACTTAACCTATTATCCTAAATATTTCTCTAATATTCTTGAACACCTAAGTCAGTGGTTCCAGTAAATAGAGAATGTTAGAGGGGGGTAAGGGGTGTCGGTTGTCCATTTTGGAGGGAGGTAACATACCAAGTTTGCTCTTGTAGAATATCCTCAAGTTGAATATTTTAGTGAAGGTGCTTGTTTAGGAGCTGGATATACAGTTTTGGTTGAGGTACTAGCTCTTTTGATTTGCAATCATACTTTCTATGATTGGGCCTTAAAATTCAGCATTATAAAGAGATGGCAGATTATACATGGGTATTGTGTGTTGTCATTAATACAGGAGGGAATAAGATATTACCAGGTAAGGAAATAGAAGGAAACATACAAAAAAAAAAAAAAGGTAAGAATGGATAATAAAGGGAACCAATAAGTGAGAAAGTTGATAAATACAGAGGAAATGGAGATGCTGAGTAGATATTTTCTAGTGGATATGTAAGATATGTTCACTGTGGATACAGGATAAAGTATGAGCAGGTGATTTGAGGATATATGGATGGATATGTTGATGGAAAAAATTAGAAGTGATCGTTGAGTTTACTTTCTTGGTACTGCATTGTCTAGACCTCTCTACTTAGGGAAGAGCTCCTTTATGTAACTGTATGACGGTTGAAGGGCACCATAGATTCTCCCTTTCTGACCCCAGAGAGCTAAGGTGTGATGGTAACTCAACTTAGCTAATTCAGACACTGCAGCCTGCAGTGCTGAGTGTGTAGGAAGTGATGCAAAGATGTAGAGACAGGATAAATCATGGTTTTGGGGTGGTGGTGATAGAGTTCGGATCCTGGCGACAGTGAGCGTCCGGTGGAGGTGGCACCCATGGCAGTTGGGTTTCCTGTGCAGAGTAGTATCCTGTCTGGAATATCCAGTGTCATGGCCTTGAGTCCTCTGCCACCAGCCTCCTTTCATTCCTGACCACTTTCTAAGCCGCATTCTCTTGCATTTTCCATCAATTCTGTAACATACCCACAGCCTTCTCATTCATTCTTTTGTTACCTAAATTATCTAGGGTTGCTATTGTTTGCTACCAAGTATCCTCATCATTACAGGTGGGATGTGAAATAAATGTATGTAACACACAAAAATTATTCTGCTGCTAAATTGCCCCATGATTTTTACAGTCAGCAGCATGAAAAGTTTAAAATATAGAATATAAAATTAAAGAAAAACTTGGCACTCAGCAAATTTAATGTCTTCAAAATTATCAAAATAAACTCATGAAATGAAGATTAACAGCATTTGGGTGAATTGTAGTCTAAGGAGTAGCTGTGTTCTATCATATAACTGTCCCTTGAGAGTCTAGCTCCCACTGTGCCCCCGGCTTCCAACCCACCAGAGAGGGACATGATGAAAACATGATTGTAAGCCCCTGTGCCTTTGGCATTGGTCCCTCCCTTGTGTGTTCCAGAGAGATGGGGAAGCAAATGCAAGCACCCAGTGACCTCCACCAGCCCCACAGGTTGGTATGTGTGTCTTGAATCTGCAAGTCTGATGATTTATGCAGAAATTGTTTTTCCTCTTCCCAGTTCATTAAAACGTGCCCAAACCAATCTTTAAAACTTTCAACTCTTACACCAAACCTGTCCTGCCAAGTGGTCTTGGAAATCTCAGTACCCATTTAATCTATCCATCAGCTGGAAAAGTGAATGGAAAAATAATTTTTTTTTTGAAGGAGGAAAAGAAAGTGTAATCATCTTGGCAGAAATATAATGTTTTAAAGCTGTCAAATCTTTATTCCACTATGATAATCAAGACCACATATTTGAATTTCCAAAGGGGGAGCAATTATGTATATCTGTTGGAAGTCAGCATTCAATTACTTACTTTATCAGGAAAAATTCAGAAGTCATGCTTCTCACATGTGGTATATTTTTATTAGCACATATGTATCCAGGGGTGTGTTGGCTTACAAAGTAAAAGTATTTGCCCACTGGGACCCTTATGTGTAGGGTATATTTCTTAGAGGGCCTACAATCCTTTTTGCTTATATTTCTCTGGGATTCCATTCCCTACCCAACACAGTTTCATCCTGAATGTAATTACATATTGTATAAGGTGTGCAAAAATCATCCTGCGCCTAACTCCCAGTCTTTTCTGGCCCAAGATAACAGCTGGCCTCACTAGAGACATGTACTTGAGGACTATAATTGAACAGAGGTGTGTGAAGGTTGACACTTCCTTATCCTCATGTCCTGTTTCCCCAGGTTCCCAAGGAAAATGGCACCAGCATTTAGGGCCTAGAATTGAAGAACTCATAAATAGGAAACATGGACCCTTACCTCTGTACCTGTGCCAGCACTGAGCTCGCATGATCATCTGCCTTTGTTAAGAAAAGGAAAACACCTCCGCTGAAATGATCTGGAGCATTATCCACTCTCTGCTCTCCCTCCAGCAGCTTTGGCTTATCCTTGAGAAGTGTTTGTTCTTGTCAAGAGTTTACTCCAATTGCCCAAGAGAACTTAGGCACCTGTTAAAAGGAAACATATAGTGCTGGGGCCTTGCTGCACAATCAGTTCCCCAAGAAAAAAAAAAGCAGCTGAGTTCGAGTGATTCAAAGGAAATCCTGAGTTACGTCTGACTTAGCTGGATCCACTGCCTTGCTGCCCTGTACCTGCCCTAAATGACTTTCAGCCTCACTGTGTGGCTGTGCTATTTTGTGCCGACCAGGGACATATATATTCTATATAGGTATATATGTAGGAATTTGACTTGAGATGTGAGAAAATTCCACTGGGCAGCCACCGAAGAATTTTGCGTAAACATTAAAAGTTTATTTATCTAGAGGTTTTGGCTTCAGCAGGGGCACAAGCTTAAGGGAGAGTATAGTTTTGAGGTTAGGTATTCAGGCTGTGAAGTCAAACTTGACCAATTCCTTGTTGGTTGTGTGACCTTCAGCTTCATGAGGCCTTGATGTCCTTACCTGGAGTGAAGATTATAGCCAGGAATTCATGAAGAGCGCTGCTCTAGTGTTATTGTTATTATTTTATTGAAGGATGTAGTCTATTGACCAAGAAACATAATGATACCAACATTTATGAGATTAGGTTTTATAATCTGTTTCATAATACTATTCTCTAGCCCTCTGAGCAAAGTGAGTACAGCTACATGTTAGTTACAAATCTAAAGACATTCAAAGCACAGTGTTCAGCGACATATTTTTCCTCTCATGTTTTCCTTGTGCCCAACTTCCATGATTCCCAGATTTAAAAAAAAAAAAACGAGTATTTTTTTTGCAAAGGAAAGAATACACAGAAAAATATGCACATTTGCCTAAAGCAAGCATAGATTAATTCAAGTGCAAAAGAAAAGTTACTGAAAAAATGATAGCACTTTGGGAAAGTAGAATCAACTGGAAGAGATATCTTAATATATGGAGGAGAAGATAGGGATTGGAAAGAGTTTATTCTCAACATTAAGTTTAATGAGAAGATTTACTTTAATGTGGTCATTAGTTATGTTAAAACAATTTTACAAGAGTTACACTTTTTTAATAAAAGCTGAGTTATTTGTTGATACTGCTGATCAAAGCATAAAATCTTAAATATATTTAATTTTAGATTTGGGAGTATAAGTGGTGCTTTGTGTACTAGCAAATTATTTGTATCTTCTGTGAATATAACAGGTATTATTAAGATATTAGGAATATGAAATACAAAATTGTATGTTTCCCAGAGATTTCCATACAGGTTTTTTTCCTGTTCATGAAGTCAAAAAAAATCTCATAGCAAAGAATAGGATGATCAATAAAGAGAAGCAGAAAATTTAAACTTATCTTGAATAAATATCAAAATCTTAATAGCTAACGTTTGCTGAGTGCTTACTATATTATTTGCTAGACACCATGCTAGGTGTTTAACGCTTATAACAACTGGAATAGTAAGGAATATTAAGAAAGGAAAAGGAAAAAACAAAATTTTAAAATGAGAATTGAAATAATAACTGAGTATAACTTTTTAGAAGAGAAAATTAAATTTAGTGTGTGTGTGTGTGTGTGTGTGTGTGTGTGTGTGTACATGTTTTCAATTTATTTGGATAACTACCAAAGAGCATTATTGCGGTATCGCGTAATAAGATTATGCCTAATTTTTAAGAAACTGTCAAACTATGTTATAAAGCGGCTGTACCAGTTTGCATTGCCATCAGCAATAAATGACAGTTCCTATTGCTCTGCATTTTTGTCAGCATTTGTCGTTGCCAGTGTTCTGGATTTGGCCATTGTAATGGATGTGTGATGATATTAGGGATCTCCTCTTTGAATTGTATCTATGGCCCCGTTGTCCTCTCAAATGCTCTGAAGCATGGCCAGGCAGGCCTAGTGTTCACAATGTAACTCTTACCAAAGAGTGGCTTTCTAGTAGAGATTTCAAAAAATGTTCAGTAATGATTGATGATGAAATGTTGTGTCTATCTTTTCCAGTTTTAAAAGCCACCCTCATCTCTCGGTTCTTGGTCCCCCCTTCCACCCCTGAAGCCAGCAACATTGCACTTCTCTAACTATTCTTCTGTAATTACATTTCCCTCAGACAAAAATCAAATTTAACCTTGGTGAAGAGGTGGGATATAAGATAAATGTGCAAAACCCCAAATCTCTGTATTAATAATGATTGACTACAAAGGAAAATGCCTGTCAGAGGAAGTCATCGAGAGGCTGTGACCACTGGTTGACCTGTGAGCTGGACCTGGGCGACTGGAGTCTCCTCAGCCACCCGCCCCTAGCCCATCTGTCCTTAGAATGTATGCTCTGCCTCCCATCCCCCGACCCCCGACTCCTCACTAGGAGCCATTTCAAGGACACGGCCTTGACAGAGCACTGTGTTGATGAGCCCATCTGGACAGGATATGTGGCAGAACCACATAAAAGCCTCTGTATAAACTTTTAAGATTCTGGTGTGTGGGTGTGGGGTCTGCTTGTCTTTTGGCACCCAAGACAGGCCTCATATGCGAGTCCCCTTTCTTATTAAACTGCCACCTACCAGTGTGGAGTGGGCTGTCTCTATCTTTCGTCTTTCTTTCCCCTCCCCCGTGTGCAAGGGCTGGCTTCAGGTTTTAGCTGAAATCAGACAGAATTTCTGAAACCTGGGAAACGTCCAAGTTACATCCCAGTAACGATGGCCACACAACTGTAAAATACTAAGGAACCAAATTAAGAAGAAAAGAAACAGGGTTTATTTTAATAACGAATAAAATTTTATGAAAGAACATAAATCAAGGTCTAAAAAAAACTGGAACAGTACACCATGGTCCTAAGGGGAAAGACTTGATATCATACAAATGTCAATCTTTCTAAAAGTCATAAATGTTTGAGGCAATTAAAACCTGAATGCATGTTTTTTGGGGGAATTAGGACAGGATCATTTTTATTACTTCATTTGGAATAATAAATACCAAGAATAATCAAGATAATTATGAGAAAAGCAAGGGGACACAACTTACCAGCTGATCCAGACTCATAAAAAAGTAAGTAGTTGTTTTATTTTTTCATTTTTATTTATTTTTAATTTCTAGTTACTTTTTAAAAAAGAAAAGATGTTATTTATTTACTTTTAGAGAGAGGGAAAGGGAGAGAGAAATAGAGGGAGAAACGCCTGGGAACCTGGCCTGCCACCCAGGCACGTTGCTCTGATCAGGAATTAATCCAGTAACCTTTTGGTTTGCAAGCCGGCATCCGGTCCACTGAGCCATACCAGCTAGGGAAGTAGTCGTTTTAAAGCACTGAGCTTTGGGATGTATTGATATACAGTGATAACTAATACAGGGAGTACAGCTCATGTATTCTAACTCGGGTATTCTCAATAGCTGAGATGGCTGGGGAAATTCAGTTGTGGTAAAGTTAAAGGAAAATTAAAGAATCTGGAGTAGGAGATAGAAGCTTTATGCTTAAAGGAGCAATGCTAGAATCAATTAGAACAGTAGTGGCAAGGTATGTAACACAATTAGGCAAACGTATATATTAAAAATACAGTTTGCAAGGATTTGGATTTATGGCAGGCCCATCCTGTGTCTCTCACAGTGCCCCATGCCAGAGCAAACTGTGCCCTTGAACCGTTGCTGGCCTCTGCCCACAGGCTGCAGGCACTGAAGCAGCTTACACAGTGAAAAAAAAAGAAAGTGTGAGTTACTGAAGTATAAGACAGAATATGTCTTTGATAAAATAAGAAAAGAAGCAGATAAGCAGAATTCCCTAGACCAGGAGTTGGCAAACTATGACCTGGCTCGCTGCAGATTTTTGTAAATAAATGGTATTGGAACATAGGCACACAATGTGTCTCTCTACTATCTATGGCTGCTTTTGTGCTCCAACAGCAGAACTGAGTCTCTGAGACAGAGACCCCAAGACCCAAAAAGCTGGAAATATTAACTAACTGGCCCTTTATGGGAAAAATGTGCTGACCCTTGCTCTAGACCAGCGATTTTCAACTGTTTCATCTCATGGCACACGTAAACCTAATTATTAAGTTCTGTGTCACACCAAAAATATAATATTTGCTGACCTGACAAAAATATAGGTACAATTTTGACTTCTTCACACCAAATGGCTATTGTTGTGTTGGCTGTTGTCATTTCTTTATTTGAAAATTTAAGGGAAAAGACATCAGTGCCCCTGAAAATTTGTCAGGCATTACATGTTTTAAGAATTCTTGTGGCACATCAGTTGAAACTTGCTGTTCTAGATTGACAATGACTTCCTCAGCATCAGAGTTGCAACTACAAGGAGGGGACAGGATTGGGGAATGGAGCAATACACACAATATTTAGTCTGCATATCTCACCCTTCTGTTTCCCTCTCCAACTTAGAGGTATGGGGGTGGGTAGGGGGGGATGACAGAGGGGAAGAGTTCCAGAAACTTCAGTGAATTTAATCCCATGAAGTCAAAGATCAGGATGGCGCATGCTCAACTGCCTCTTATCAGGAGAGTGAGACTGGCTGTCCCAATAATTAAGTTGGGTCAGCCGTCCATTCTGACTGGCTTTGGGGCTGTTATTGACTGAACTGTTTACTGAATAGATCACAGTTTTTAGCATCATGTCGATCCAGCAACATTTCTTCTGGTAATGGAAACTAAAAATTTGTGAATACACATAATTATATCTTTAAAGTAGATACAATGCAGAGAATAAAAATAAATATAAATTTTAATAAGCAATAATTCCAATAGTAATTTTTTCACTTCTACATTTACAGTTAGTGTCCAGGAAATTACAGCTTTGCCAAGACTGGTGACCTGGAATGTCAGGTTTATCAGCGAAAACACCAAAGGTGTAGTGCTGCTGACAGATCATCATGCATGTAGTCAGGGTACATGAGTTAAGGTTCCTATGAGAACCTTTGCACCTTTCACCTTTGCATTTCCTGAATTTCATATTACAGTTTTAATCTGTGCATTGTATTAAACATTTTCTTTGTGATCCCTTTTCTTTTTAAAAAATGAGAACAAATAGAAAATTTTAATCTCCCAATCTCTCAGGGCAATCACCATAATCAGCAGAATAGCTGCACCGGGGGCAGGGAGGTCTTAACTTTTTAATCTTTGGAATAATAGGCAAGGGATTTAGTTCCTTTTATTCATCTCTCTAGTGGATTAAAAGTATTATGCTCCATGCCCCAGCTGGCATGGCTCAGTGGATTGAGTGCCAGCCTGAAAACCAAAGGGTTGACAGTTTGATCCCCAGTCAGGGCACATGCGTGGGTTGCAGGCCAGGTGCCCAGTAGGGACTGCACAAGTGCAACCACACATTGATGTTTCTCTCCCTCTCTTTCTCCCTTCCTTCCTCTCTCTAGAAATAAAGAAAAAAATAAAATCTTAAAAAAAAAGTATTATGTTCCATTTACATAAAAATTTTCTTTACTGCCAGAAATAAAAGAGTACAAAGAACCTCAATAAAGAAAATAAAATATAGCTGAGACAAACTTGAAAAGTCAGTTTTGAGTGGTTAAAATTACTTAAAATGGAAACTTTTAAAAGGCAATCTTTTAGAAAGGGGTCTGGAGTGATGACTTCTGTGATAATGCTGAAAGAGAGCAGAGGGAACAGGATAAAAGCAAAGAGCTCTGTTTCCACTGGAGTGAGGAGTATTATGTTAAATGGGAATTTTTAAAACTGTGAAAGTACTTGTTCCAGAACTTTTCATACAGTAGATATTCAGCATATGTTTGCCTCCTTCACTTATGAGGTAGCACTATGATTGTCTTGTTTTCATTCCACTTTGTTTTTAGACAGTGTCCTGTTCTCAGGTTTCCCAGCATCCCTTGCAGCTATCATTGGCCATTAGACCAATCTGGGCCAAGAAGACCTAAGAGGAATTCTGTCAGGGTGGAGGCTTTGCTTCCTCATAAAAGAGAGGGGACACAGCTAGCCATGCCATAGTTCCTTTCTGTTTTGGTCTGGTAGGCAGACATAAGAATGCTTCTTTGACAAGCTCTGTGACAAGATATAATGAGTGATATTTAGCAATCATTTTTTAGTTTGTTGGGGGTTTTTTTTGAAACAAATCTAAAGAAATGTTTTTCCAACTGTGGTCTTGACCCATCTGTATTAAAGCCACCTGGGTTGCTATCTTTGGGTTGAATCCAGGGATACATATTTTAAGTATGTGTTTCATGTTATTCTTATGCACCTTGAAGTTTGACATTTGGTGGCCAAAAAGCTGAGATGGATAGTTCTTTTGAATAGGTTTGTTTATAAGTTATAATATGTTCTGATTTGGATATGCATTCCAGTTAAAGACTTTAATAAGCTTTGGACTTCAGTATCTACTCCTTGGACATTTCGAGAAATACTTTAGTTGAGAGTAACTGCCATGTTTTCAGCCAGAGCCAGAGAAGAAATAAGGATAGTCCTCTCCTGAACTGATTTTTATGTCTTTTTCCTTTGCTAAAATGTTAAAAAAAAATTTGCTTATCCATAAATAATTCTCAGAGATTCCTGAAACACTAAGGACCCATATAATCCTGTAAAGAAACAAAAGAAGACCACCACTAACAATAACATTTGAACATTTTTTTAATGTCTTTTTTTGTTGGGAGGGGGGGTGGAGCATAGGTTAGCTTTTCAGGTGTCTTCAGTTCAACTCCATCTCCATGAATTGACAAACACTCTCTAGATAACCCAGGCTCCTTAACTCAACGGCTTGTAGTCAATTAAATGAGATTTTAACTTCAAAAAGGAAAAGTTAATAGGCATTATGAGGTGTCTATAGACAGCTCCAGAGTTCCTCGTGGTGGATCCTGCCTTAGAGGACCCTCCAATACTAGGGAAATAAGCTGATACAGCCTAATGGTGTAAGACTTCCTGTTGTCTGCCCTCTCAGTGGAGGTCTTGGGGACGCAGCACAGGCATTTCCTCCCAGGGCCAAGCCAGTCTCCCAGTCCCTCAGTATTCCCATCTCTCTCCATCCATGACAATCCTACCACAATGGAAATATTATAAACCATGGAAAGGAACACTTCGGTGTCAGGAAAAACGCTCATACCAGAGGCCTCTAAGGCAAGTTTTTCAATGTTTACAGTTCTATTCTTTTTGTCTTTCTTCAGTTTTCTTCATGCTCTGAGGAATGCAAGGCAACTCTGTCATATTTCAAGGAGTCTAGGCATCCGCTTGCTATGGACAACTCACTTGTGTAGATTCTCACCCTCCAATCCTGCAGTAAGCCATAGGGCATGATGATGGGAGGTCAGAAGTCAGAATCTTTACAAGCATGTGACTAGTTACGATAACCAGGGCTTCTGATTCTGGGAGCTGGCTTAAAAATCGAAGAGACTTAAAATTTAAATCTTGTCACAAAAAAATAAGGATGGAATAAAACCAAAAAAAATAACAAAAATTGGAAAATGTTAATCTATATTAGATTTATTATTATTACAAATTAAACAATTTAAAGAGTGTTGTTTTATTTTGGCTAGAGTGCAATGAAATTAGTTATGTATAACATGTGACAGTGTGGGGAAATTTTTCCAACTCCAAGTAATCTAACTTGGGCGACTGGAATGTTCAGGAGAGAATCACCCTCTCCCCACCTCTGGCAGCAAGAGGATTGTTCGTGTTCTCAATGAGAGGAATTTCACGCTTGTGGAGGGGTGAAGCCTACTACAGTAAGAATGGAACATTTACATTGGACTCAATAGGAGCAGCCACTGGAAGTTTTTATGCAGGAGTGTGCTTTGAGGCAAGCAGGATTTTGGGTAAGTAACTTTGGCCATGGTGTCCTGAGTGGAGAGAGGAACTGGAGAGCAAAACACAGAGGGACCAGTTAAAAGGGCTGCCCTTTTTCAGACAGGGTGCCAGGAGTGCCTGGCTTAGGTCTTGGAGGTAGTGCAGAAGGGAGAATGCCTTTACCAGCTTCCCAAATAACTCCCTGGGCCTCATACCTCTGACCTGTTCTTTGGTGGCCACATGTGGTTTAGTTCATTCTTTACTCACAGGTGAGCTTTGGGCAGTATGAGTCCAGCAAAATCAAATTTGCTCCTCTGTGACAGCTCCAAATACCAGATGGGTTGGCCTGTACCTGTTTCACAGATGTATACACTAATAAGTGATGGAAAGTACCTGAGGTCTGACTGATTCCAGACCCTGACTATGTGTGAGACAGAGTTTCCACTGAGAGATTTAGAGGTATTCAGAAATGTAAATTAGTTCTTTGAGAAGAGTAGGTACTTAGAGATAATCATATAATTAAGATAAGTGTAAAAAATAGTTGAACATCTACCAGGTTCTATGTTAAGTGCTTTATACAACGTATCTCATGTCATTCTTGCCATAGACTTAATAGATAGATATAATTCACATATTTTAAATACAAAAACTGCAGGGAGAATGAAGATGGTGAAGGAGTGAGTGGAAGTCACACTGAACTCCTCCCAGGACCAACCTGGAATTACAACTAAATTGTGGAGCAATCACCTAAAACAAACAACTGAACAATAGTGAGAGAGGAGCCTTATAACCTTGGACAGACAGAAGAATCAGCTTTAGCACAACCTAACTTGTAAGGACTGTGGTAGAGACTTGAGAAGGCAGGGGAGGGGAGGGCGCCAGTAGGCAGCAGCACCAAATGGATATTGAAACAGCCAGTTGGATCCCCCTGAGAAGAGCAGGGT